TTTAGAATCTGACGATGATTTTTTAGATTGACTGCTTTCTCCACCTTCGCTTTTTGTTTTTCGCGATTTGACACCCTTGATCTTTGTTTCTTTTTCAGCCTTTTTCTTTTGTTCTGGTTGTGTTGTAGATTTCTTCTTTTTACTCTTTTTATCACTCTCCTCTGATGATTCATAAGAAATGTCTTCCATATTATTTTCAGAATCGGATTCATGACTTGATCTTTTCTTTGATTCTTTCTTGCTGGCAAGAGTTTTTTTTTGTTGACATTTCATGATCGCTTGATTCGTTATTAGATTCTTCTTCTTGCTGTTGTGGTTTGGAAGGTTGAGCAGTCAATCGATTTGCCAATAAAAGTGTCTTATTTGAAATTGTTGGTCTTTGAGGAGGTTCAACTTTTTGTTCAGTAACAGTATTTCCATTGGTTGCTGTTGTTGTTGATGATGATGTTACGGATTGTTTGGAAGAATTGATATTTACGGAAGGATTTGTAGGTTGTTTAGGGCCAGTCGTTGTGGCCGATGATGATGAGACTTTAGTTGATGACTGTTTTGTCTTGTTGATGGTCTGCTGTTCCTCAACAATGTTATCAACAGATAGCGGAGAGAGACGGGCTGGTCTCTTATACACTTCACCCTCTAGAAATTCTCTAAAGGTGTTGGAAGGACTTGATGGTTCGGGTTGCATATTTGTGGTGGGAATGGTGGTAGTCGTGGTGATGGAATTAATTACATTATTGGAAATGGGAGTGGAATGATGATTCAGTGCAGGTGGAATGGATGTAAAAGGATTAGGAGGTCGTGGTGGTGCTTGAACAACACCCTTCTTTGCGCTACCGACTTGTTGTAAATTCTTTTCTGGAAAGGGCGGAGCCTTTGTTGTGATGGGAGAAGAAAAGTCATGCATTCTAGAGGCAAAAGAGCCATACTCATGGACATCCAATCCCGACTCTGAAAAGTCCATTTGATCAGCTGTGGACATTGGCTCAGCATCCTCCGATGATGACATGTTGCTATTATTCATGTCTTCTCTTTCTCCGGAGGGTGGTAGGTAATAATCATTATTAACTCCGTGAATGTATGAAGAGGTAGTGGAAGGATTAGAGAGAGTTAAAACGCCGGATGAATTTGAAGTGGTTTCATTATTGTCTAGCATTTTGATAATGGAAAGAAGGAGAATACAATCGTGTGTTATTGGAGAAGATGATTGAGTTAATCGATTACAATTTTCAAATATATCAAGTTATACTACACTATTGTTGTATGAATATAATATGGTGCTTGCAATGCTAAACACTGAATGGATGATAGTAGAGAACAACAACGTAAATGACTAAATATTCACAAGCAAGCAACAATAAATAAATGATGATAATGATAAATAGTCAATCAGTAGTCCAACACTTCCACAACAAGTGTTTGTAGATATCTATCAATTATTAACAAATGATTAATTGCAATGATAATAATATCATCAGCAGTGTTATTGTAAGATACAAAATGTGGCCAACAAAACACCGATGGAAAAGCACACCGAAGAGCAGAATAGTTGTTTCAATGAATTCCAGAGGTAGTGTGGATTCAAATTTTTGTTTTTGATTATTTAGAAAAAAGGTATGATATTGTTTGTTGTTGTTGAAGGCATTAGAATCAGGATTCAAACACGGTAAATTCACAATTTTGCAAATATTCATAAGAATTCTTCCGTCCGTACATCATATAATCTACTTACATCAAAAAGAAATTATGATAATCAACTCTTCTGTGTTATGGAGTTTAGTACGAATAGCGATTTTTAAATTTTTGAAATCATGAACGAGAGTGGCCACTCTACTTCTGGTCTTGGGTGATGATGAAAATTGAATGGCTGAATTTTTTTATTTTTGGAATGAATTTTGCAAACTCATTTTCATTGTTGCCTTGGCTGAGTTACCTCTTGTTCGTTCGGAGTTGGTAGAACAGAGCTTGTTGCAGCAGGAGAAGCATTGGTCTCACTCTCATTGGAAAGGGTATTGTCGGATTGATTACTATTCATTGAAGCAATAATTCGTGGTTTCACATCCTCAACAAGTGAAGGCATAGTTTGGGAAAGCTCATTCTCTGTAAGAGTCCATAGTTGAGGATTCAATTTGAACACCTCAATATTATTCATAACAAGAATCATATTCTTAAGTAATTCAGGTAAAGCTTCCCTTAAGTGGTCACTCTTTGGTTTTACCAACAAAAAGCTATACATGATTTGGAGAATCAAAAGCCACAACGAGTGAAAACCACTCTCCTGTTGGTTCTCTGAAATTGTGAACATTCTAGGCAGAAAGTGGAGGAATATCCTGGCCAATAAATTGTTAGCACGGACACGAAGTTCTTCCAGAGATGAGATATCCATTTCAGTATTGTGATTAGATTGGTATTCTGTTGTTTTTGGTTTCAAGCCTAAAAGAGTTTGAAGGAAAGATTTGATTAATACCTTTTCCATACAGAGCATCAATAATTGGTCATTAAGTAAATACTTAAGATTCTCATTTGGAGAATCATTCATTAATTGCTGGTTCAAGGATGAAGCGTATTTAAAGTCACAACTGACAATGAGAGATCTTTGAAGTGCAGAGAGGGCTTGTGTTCTAATATCTCTTTGAAGCTGAGACAGCATTTGAATTTGATTATTATTAAGTTGTGACATGAGTAAATGCAAAGCATTTCCTGAGCTCGACGAATTGTTAATTCCTCCTGTACAACATAAAACTGAAATTCCCTCTAAAATTGAAAGCCAAGCATTGATCCATTTGTTGTCTAATCGTATTACGTTTTGAGAGCCATTAACAGATGAAAATGCTGTTGAGACAATTCTTTTCAAAATTTCAGGAACTAAATTTTCTAATATTGATAAAATGTCTTGTGCGAGTGTCATGAGTTTTTTAAGTGTTCCAATAAACTGAGTATGGTTTGAGTTTGAGCTTTGTACATTGACATTGGTAGTTATGGAGGCACTGAGAATGGAAATTAACGTTTGTACAAAGGTTGGAATATTGTCTGGAACCACGAACCAAATATTGAAACTACTACTGTCTTGAGAGTGGGTGGTATTTTGTTGTAAGCTTAATGTTAATACGTCCAATGATCTTGATATTAGTTGTAATTGTTGAGAAGGTTTTAGTGAAGTGAATAAAGTACTACTTGGATTGTTGTTGATCCAACTAGTTGAGGCAGTTGAAATACTTTTTAACATCTTAAAAACTAAATGATCCCAAAATTCAACAATTACTTGGGATATTGAGGAAAGCACCAAAGTATTTCCACTAGTATTGTTTGTCATGTTGGTTCTCTCATGAATGAATTTTTTCCCCATTGGTGATAAAAGATTTTCACCATGCCTTGATAAAAACATGTGAATCATTGGAAGTAGGCTCATGTGAAATACTCCAAGAAGACCCTCATTCCACTGCTTTCCAAGGTGATCAATAAGAACAGATAACATTTCTTTTTGAATAAAGGACCATTCTTGTTGCTCGGAAGAGGATTTGTCGGTAACTTGGTTAAGTGATGTTGAAGGAGTAGACAATTCCATGCATAATCTCCAAATACATGTAATACATCTTTGAAGAATATGATAATGTTGTTTGGTCATTCGTGTACGTAAAGTTGTTGTTGAAGTAGAGATTGGGCTAGCCCTTTCTGAAGGAAGTGAATTAGTACTACCACTAACTTTTGATGACGAGCCAAGAGAAGAAGGTGCACTTTGTGCACTTGAAGAGACTTGATAAATGGATTGTATAACGTTGATAGGCTCATATATTTGTAAAATTGATATCATGAGCTTATATACATGACCATATGCATAATTCCAAATGAGTTTCAATCGATCTGTGATGGTATTTCTATTTAGATTGTTGCTAATTAGCACATCACAGAGTAAATCCAAACAAAATAGTGAGGTTTCAATGTCACGTTCGTAATAATAATACGTAACAGTAGAATTAGATGTTGGTGATTGTTTTTGTGGTGTTGTACTTGTCTTTAGAGCAAAGAGGTGTGGAGCAGGTATATGCATAGACATTAAAACACCACTTGGTTTGCCATTTCTAATCAATGCACTAAGTAAATATTCTAACGAATGACCGCTCAACTCTTTGGCATCCATCATCAATAGTTCAACAATACGACATTGTTCAATGCATTTTCTCGCTTCGTCCAAAGCATGCTTAATCTCAATTGAAAAGTGTTCAAATTCTGTGTCTTGTCCTCCAAGTGCTTGAGACTCACTATCATCGTCCGAGTCATCGGAGTCATCCCAGTTATTTTTCTTTTTTTACATTAGATTCTTCGCTGCTACTGCTACCATAGAAACCCCCAAAAACGCTTGACAAGAGAGAGAATGTTGCACTTTTAACTTGTGTTTGTGTTTGATTTTGAGACTTGGGTTTTAACTTTTTGGTAGCACTCTTAGAAATGCTTGAAATGATATGTCCATAAAGAGAAGATCCTGAGGTTAATAGTTGTGACGAGGCTTGATTTGATAAGGACTGATCTGATCCACTTTCTTTTCTTGGAGAAGAAATCTTTGACTCGTGTGATGATGAAAATTGAAATTCTCTGAGTTGTCTCACAAGTCGAGACTCTACAAGTGACTCTGGCAATAACTCGAGTTCTCTCATTCTGCAAATAAGATCAAGAATATTTTTCCATCCTTCGCGTAAATTATCTCCATATTTTCTAGTAATTGCAAACACAGTTCTGCAAGCAAGTTTTGCTTTTTCATTATGGCCAAACATAACTATGGATCTATTCTTATCAGTTCTTGATGAAGATGCAACCTTACTGCCAATATTTGAGTTGAAAGATGAAGAAGAGGAATTGATGATTTGATTATTAGCTGATGGTGAAGCTGGGGATGTCACAACACCATCTACACCTCCATTAATTGTTGAGATTACCACACCATCATGAGAAACTATTGTAGTTGAAATAGATGTATTGGTTGGCCAAGTTAATCCAGTACTGTCTAAAGTTTGTTGACTGGAATTGTTTGAACAGTTCACAACTGAAATAGAAGGAGGAGTAACCCCGTCCAATAGAGTAGTAAATTTGCATAGAGTAATTACCAAATTATCAAAAACATGATGGAGGTGATAAGTTGCAGCGACTCTGGCGCTATCAAGAAATCCTCTGATTGCCAATTCTAATAAATGAATATCGTCTGAGTTTTCTAAAATGATGGTTGTAGCCAATATTACATGTCCCCACATGCTCTGGAACATTTCCATGTCATAAATGAAGGGTAGTAGATTGTCATTTTCGTTGGAAATTGAAGAAGATTTTTGGTTAAAGTTTCGTTCGTAATATTCCATGGATCCTCTGACAATAAGCTCGTTCCATACTGTTTCACTTTTGTAAGAATCAATTAAACCTGTCACTACTTCAAATTCATTTGTTAAAACATAATGAAAAATCTTTTGAAGCTCCTCTTTTGGCATATCTTGAAGCTCTTCATGATAACCAACAGTTCTTATAAAACCTTCAAGATTCATTCTATTGTTTCTATTGTGATGATGGTGTAAATCAGTGTGCAACATCATGATAGCAACAGCCAAAATCCATGCTTGTTCTCCGTTCGCTAAATAAGGAACGGCAGGAACTATACGAGCATTACATGAGATGTGTCTTTCTTTTGCAAAATTTGTGTTATTATCTCTATAATAGCACTCTCCAAGAAGTTTAACAATCCTTTCTACCTGTTGACCTTCGCCAGAAATTTTGCATCTATTAATGAAATATCTCATTGCTTCATCAATTCTCATCCCATAAAAATCAAAACCATCCATAAACTGTCTCATAACTTCCAGTGGTAATACATTTCTAAGCGGATCTTTTTTCGATTTGCTAAGAATTGGAATTAAGTAGGTATTTTCTGTAAGTGTTCTGTTAGTTTCTGTGAAAGCACTTTCCTTAATCTTAATATCAACTATTGTATTGGCAGGTGATGAAAAACTATTGAAATAATCAACAATCTTTTGCTTGTCTAGCCAAACATTATATTCGAGAAGAAAGTTTGAAATTTTTTCAGAAGCACGTTGCAATAAACTGACAGCCTCATTCCAATCTACTGTTATGGAATTTTCATCCACACTGTTTTCATTTCTTATGAAAGAGGTAAGATCTTTTGGAATTGTGATATTGTAAATTTGTAGTAATTGTGTCACTCCTTCCAAAGGGCTGCTATTAAATAGAGAGACAATTTCCATCATTCTATGTTTTTGTTTTTTGTGTAATTTGATTTCAGATGTCATGTTATTGACTACATTCATATCTAGAGATTGTCTAACATTTTGTTCTTGTTGTTCCTGACATCTCTCTGCCAAGCATCTTACAACACTTAATAGGCCTTGCCATGCTAAAACATGTAATGTATGTAAATTGGAACTGCCGAGAGAAGATGAAGAAAGTGATGTACTACTACTACTATTACTCGTAAAGTTATTAAAATTGGATGAACCACTCTGACCTATCTGAATGGTATTTCCTATTATGTTGTTTTGAATTGATGGATTTCCCAACATGGTTCCGCTTACAGAGCTATTCAAGCCGATATAGCTGTTCAGATATAAATAAATGTGTTCAAAAAGATTGGGAATGCTATTTACATTGACTTGATTCTTCTTGTCAAAACATCCATAGCAATCATAATGACGATATAGAAATGCAATAAAATTGGAGTCTCTACACACTTCAACAAGATACTCTAAAATTAATTCTTGTAGTTCGAATGGTAGAAATAATGAAGTGTTTCCTAAAATCGGTGAGTTAGAAAATTGACTCTTTTTGAACTTGATCCATATTGTTGCTGTGATGGAGAAAGATGTTGAAGTAATGAAAGGAGAATAGCTGAAATTTGTTCATGTAAAAAAATTCTAATGTTGGCTAAACTGAATAAATAGGTAATTGAACATTTCAAAGCTGCTGAAAGAAGCATGAGATTATTTCCATAATTAGAGTGAGTGGGTTGAAGATTGCCTCCATTTGCGGTAGCAAGAACGCTTGAAGTAATTGTAGAATTTGATCCAAGTCCAGATTGAGTACTTCCGCTAAACATCATTTCACCATTTGCTAAGAAAAGAATTGTTTGATAAGAAATGTTCACATTTCGTAGCAAGGCTCGACATAACTGGTTACAAACCATTCTTAATATGTTCTGATAACTTGATAAAGTTAATCTATCACCCAATAGTTCAATCACATGACAAGCCAAGTTAATACCCAGATATCTCGTTCCAATACTATTGACTGTTGTTGACATGGTATTTGTACTTGATCCTAATTTCATGGAGGGCTGTGAAGATGTGTCCGGCACCGCAGATGAAGTACTATAAATATCACACATGTCACAAATAAATTCAAAAATTAATTCTCCTGTTGTAGATGATTCGTTGGATTTTTCATTGAGTCTTCTCGAAAATATAATTGTTACTATATCATAAATGGCTAATTCAGCAGTTTTTCTGAGGGAATCTTTAATTATGGTAAATATGACAATTTTCATAAAAATACTGTAATGATTTTGGCTGACTTACCTGTAGATGGACGTGTTTCTCTGCCAATCCTTAAAATACTTTTTATAATCTCCAAGATTGTTGATTCGTCCAATAGTTTTCCTGCCTCACTTTTCACACAACATAAAAACGTATTAATAATTTGAGTAAGAACAGATTCGAGAAGAGATGTTTCCGAAGAAACAGATGCAATTGATCCTAAACCACTTCCCAATGAATGATCCAAAATAATTGGTCCTCCTGCTTCAGAAATTGATCCAGAGTCTGTTGCATTGAATTCAAATTGACATTGTTGAACACTTGTTACTATTTCTTCAATTATTATCTTTGCGTCCTCCGAGTTATTATGATGTGTCGATTGAGATACTCCTGTATATTTCATGACAATACCAATGAATAAAACTCAAAGTTGAAATCTTTCAACTTACCAATAAAATCAGGGAACTCCAAGAATTTTTGGAGTGATCTCAAAGCCATTGATGTAAGCCTGCCTTCTGTATCTTCGGATTTTATGATGGCAAAGAACGGTTGGAGTATGTCCATGGTTGATAATGTTTGCCATGTTAAGTTGCTGCTAATCCTTTCTCTCAAGTTTCGCATTCCGATGAGAATTGAACTTTCATTTCCTACAGATCCTTGTTGTCTTGGTATATTTTCGTATTGCTATTGTTGTTTGATGATTGATTGAATAATAGATTTGAATGTTTGATTGGGAGTGTTATATGACCATAAATAAAATTAATTGAATTAATTAATTGACAAATGTAATCGACAATGTAAAAGATCAAATTGCATCATAATCACACTTACAAATCTATATCGATTGGAAAATCTCATAGAATGTACATTCCGCATGCCCAAAATAAGAGCATTCACTTCACCCAACACGAGTTTTTGTAGTGGGAAATGTTGTTGTTGTTGTACACCGTTGTCCATTATTATTTGTTGTGTTCGATGTGTTTAAAAGAACAATCAATGAGCAAATAGTTTAATTTCTCTTCGGAAGAGGCCTGATGATAGAAATTTTCGATAATTTTTTTTTGCTTGCGTGGTTGTAATGTTCGTCATCTTGAGAGAAACCTGTGTGCTTCGGCTTGATATCAATTTCACAAAGTTGCAAAAATTTGCTGCTCTTTAACATTCCTGATTGGATAAGAATTGCATTACCAAGCGTAGAGTGTGATTGTAGTTCCATTCCAAAAGCGTTAATAACTCAACAGAACGTCCAACATAATTAGTAGTGGAATTTAATCAAAGAATAGAGTTGTCAGGATGCATAATAGTTTTCTAATGTTTCTTTCATTCTTTCATTCTTTCAGCTTTGGAATATCCACCTTGTTGCTCTGACATTTGGTGGATTTTTTTGATTATTGTAATTTGCATTAAAGTGTGAAATTTTTTTCGTCGTTTTAAAAATCTAATTAGTTTATTGTTAGCACCATTGCTGCTGGTAAAACTATTAAACGCATGTTCAAGCGGTTGACTTTGGCTTGAATTGTCTTGAAATTGGTTTCAATTCTGTGGAGCAAATAAATCTTGTTGAGGTTAGTCTATTCAATTCATTGATGTCATTAAGCTTGTATTCAACAATTAGGTATGAGTAGGTATCTTTTACCTTTTTCTTAATACGGAGTCTCTCTTTTTCGAATTTGATGGTTGTGTTCTTGCATAGTGTTTTAATAGCTTTGGTAATTGCGGGTTCACTTGTTGATTCAGGAAGTATACAATTTGCTATATGTGTTTCTTGCTTTCTTTTGATAATTTCAAATCCTTGTACAATCAATTCAGTGTTGGGATTCTTGGAATCAAAGTTAATTTTAAGTTTGTACAAGGGTTCTTGTGGATTGAATGTTAGGCACATTTGTTCAATTCTACATTTCTTTTGATTGATTGAGTACTTGATGAGAGTTTGGATGTTCGAAATTGATTTTTCTTTGGCTATTAATGTTGTTGGAGATGATGTAAAGCGGAAGAAGAAGCGATTGCGAAACTGCCAAAGACGAACAAAAAGAAGAAGGAGAGAATCAACACGATCGAAGCATTTGGGAACTCAGGATGAAAATGTACAAAAGAGAATTATTAGAGTCTTTTAGAAAGAGTATCCTAAAACCTGAAAAAAGGAAAAAAAGACACATATTGCAAACGTTGAAGCAACAAATGGAGAAAATTGAAGAAGAGAAAGTAAAAGATGACAATGATTACCTTGGAGAATATTCTGAACAAGATGAAGAAGATGGAAATGATTATGTTATTCAATTAAGGCCTGCGGTTGGAAATTGAAAAGAGACCTTTGTTATTTTTCGAGAACTTCTCCCTTCAACTAAATGATACGGTTTCAACATTTAACTGAATTATTTGAATGGGTGGTAGAACTGAAGCTTATTGAAAGTGATAAAATTGATCGTTTCATGGGATATACGAACGACTTTCATTCAGGTGGTATTTTCAAAAATAAAAAAATTCGAAAACCATCGAAATTTAATGAACAATCTCGATTTTCGAAAAAAATTTACTCCTCTTAACCCAATTTTGTTTTTGAGTGTGCTTAGTCTTTGAGGAGAAATCAGTTGTGAAGAAGTAATTTGAGATGACATCATTTGGTCTCCATTTACAAGTATTGTTGGGAATACAGATTCGTCATCGCTTTCGCTTTCTTCTTGGAAATTCTGTGTACTGATTGAAGTGTTGGTACTGGTAGAGCCTCGATTGTTAAGTAGCGATGACAATCGGCTACGAGCTTTCGCGTTGCTGGAAAATAGACCTAATACACTGATGAACGCGGCTTCTTTATCTCCCCAATTAGCTCTTCTGTCTTTTGACAAAATATGCAGAAAATCCCACAAACACAAGGTCGGGTGTTTGGAAAGACCACAAACTCATTTGTTCCTTTAAATTAACCAAACGATTCTTGTTGTTTATGTCTTCGAAACATATCAAATTCATTAACAACCAAAAGCCTTGGCAAACATCAGGTTATCAAAACCAATACACATAAAGAAGATCGGTAACAATTACAATGGTTGTCAACAACAAAACACAAGAATTCTCTTAGTCCCGATCAATCAATACGTTACACATTGACATTTTAATAACAATTGATCACCTAATAATTAGCTGTGCTTGAATGGTAGATGTTTAAATTTTACTCCTCATAAGATTTTTCCCTAAGTTTGAGAATGTTGGCAATGAATGGATGGAAAAAGGCATCAAAACAATCTCCAGAAACCAAAATTAATTTAGGACATGGTGTCTCTTTTGAAGTTGGAATTATTCCTGTTCTAACACTTTTGGCTGTGTTATCAGAGACTTTTTTTCTCGAAAAAATTACTGGGTAAATATCATAACCTTCAATATCCAATAGTGCCTTGTTATAATAATCACATAATTGTTTGGGTTCGAGTGTCCTTATTTGTGAATCATCATTCATAAACTTATTTTGAACTACAAATAACACTTTCCTCCCACCAGAAACAAATACAGGCAAAAATCCATCAATACCTTGTTGATTCGGTTTTGCCTTTGTGATTACATTATGCATGTTTTCGTTCTGAACAAGTGATTTAGAAATTGTTTCTACAACTTCAACATAACGGTAGTAGGCTTTTGTGCCAATATTGGTGGTCAAAGTCATATGAGCAAGCTTATCTGTCATATGTGCTCCTTGAAAAAGTTCACCGACAGTAAAAGTATTTACAGGCTCAATTGGTTTCAGTTTGAGAATATAGTTCAGTTTGCAGGTAATTGTTTTCAAACATAGCTCTTCGAATTTTTCCCAATCCGGTTTTGTTGAAGTATAAACAAAGTCGTTGAATAAGCTTTTGGAATTTTCTCATTTGATTCTGAAAGTATATCAATAGCAGGAAGTGGTAATCCAATATGGTCATTAGTTTTGTAAATTCTACCTTGGCTAGTTAATTCTTCAACTCTACTATCATATTTGAGAGCTTTGTGAGTACTATATGGAAATCCTGAAAGAGTAAGTATGGATAGATATTGATAAACATCTACTTCATCGCTTGGTTGATATATCTTATACACCTCTTTCACAACATTACCGTAAATATTGCTTATTTTTGTTTCTAGTGGCATAGTTGTATTGTTTTTAATTTCTTTGGCAAATCTAACTGCCCATTCTAAATGTCTAGGGACAACACCAATGATACTCCAAAAAATCTGATACTTTGGTGTATAAAATTCTATTAAATCTTGCTCTTTCATAATAATTTCGACATCCTCTTGTCGCAATGATGGTAATGGGACAGTTCTTATTTGGTAGTCAGTTGGTTCAAATTTGGCATCGGATTCCATTAACGTTCCTGAGAATGATGGAAATAAAATTAATCCCTGTTTTTTCTGAAAGTGTCTCATATACCATCCAATTTTATGTTGTAATTGTGTATTCAGATTTTGATTCAGTCTGGTTACTCTTTGATATTCATCAAATGCGAGAATAAGAGGTATTGGCATCGATTGCTCGACTTTCAATTGTTCGTGCAATTTTGAGCTTATAATTCGGAGAAGTTCATATAAAAAATAATCATTAGTTATTTTTGGTATTCGTTTTGCAATTTCTTCTCCTTGTTCAAAAGCAGCGTAAATGATTCTCGATGAGATTAAAGAAATAATACTACTGTCTCTTTCAACATCATTTTGCAAAACAAATCCATTTGTAAAGTTAAAGTAAATGATTGAAGAATTCTTAAAAATATATTGTGGTTCGGCCTTCGAAAGAATTTTGACAACCTCAGACATAATACGAGTCTTCCCACTCCCACTTCCACCTTTGGCAATCAAAAAAGTTAAGTCTTGTTTGTTAATTTTTTCTTGTTGACTTGCTTCGTATTGTCTTGCACTTAAATCTAAAATTGCTTGTTTTGCTTGTTCTCTATTCAGCATGTCATTGAAAATGAGGCGATCTAAGCCATGGTGAACATGTGATAAATCTCTCAATTTTAGCTCACTGATCTCTTGCAATAAATACAATTCTTCATCAGAAAAATTTGGAATTATCTCTATATATTTGTCTGGAATGTATTTCGGTTTTGAGTCTACCAATTTCCGTTCATCCCAATAAAATGTAAAACAGTTGCACAAATTTCACGTGTGGGATTTTCATGAGCAAGATTAGTGTACAGTTATCCAAATTACTTACGTTTAGAAACGATTTTCAATAATGGTAATTGTATCTTATTTTTCTCTATCAATTTGTCTTTTATCCAATTCACGACAGTTGTGCAAGTGGATAAATCAATCTGGTTTTCAAAAATTTGTTTCACGATATCATTTGCAGAGAGTTCATTCCCATTTTGTTGAGCTTTTTCGAGTTCGTACACAATCTTTGAGAGAGTTGTTCCATCAAATTTTGCATCATAGAAAGGCTGAGCTTGCTCTATGGTTAATCCAGCCCCACCGTTTAGTTTTGATTGGCACAATGCATCCTTTGTTTGATCCTTGTCCCACAAACGAAAAAGTTTGGGCATTAATGTTTCATTGACCCAATTAACAACAGTCTTGCAAGTACTTGACGGAACTTGAGTACAGTCTTTGCTTTGAGTCAAGGAGGCAATAGCAGCTAGCCTTCCGACCTCTTTGATATCCTTTACAATGTTATCAAGAGAGTTTCCTTTGAAACCAGCTTCAACGAGAGGTTTAACATCATCAACGGACAATGCGGCTCCACCAGCGTCATCATCCAAAGTCAAAATGGAAGCAACTTCTTGGGCTGTCCATTTCTTGTACTGGTTGAAAGAGAGGGCTACAATTTTAGACGCTTGAGAATTGTCATTATTAGCGGTTGGTTGTTCTACATGGTTGTGCTCATCACCACTTCCATTTCCTCCCGGTCCGGTAGAAGAAGAAAGACTTTTTGTTGTTACTTCATCTTTTGCCAACAAGGAAGATAATGTATGGAAAGAGCGTACCGAAGTGTTCCTTGTATGATGATGATTGGACAAAGATTTCCGAAGCGAGAGGTTAGAGTCTGAACCAAGTGTATCAACACCAAAAACTACACCTCTGAAAAACCGAGAGAAAGAGAGTGTTGATGAGGCTTGTTTACCACGAAATAAATGGCGAGCAGCGTTTTTCATCACGTCAAAATATTTTTTTAAAAAAATTCCGATTAAAATCAATTCGTGTGCCGGAAAAATTTTTCGCAACAAAACTTTAGCAAGCGAAAAACTCGATAGTAGAGGTTTCATACCTGTTTTCGAAATCTGAATACTGGTATTTCGTCAATAAATCAGTTAGACTGACAATACTTGAAATCATGATTCATGGATAGCCAATAACCATGAATATAAAGTTTTGTTCAATAAAAATTACAGACAGAAATGTATGACTCTTATCTTTGACTTTCAAAAAGTTTTTCCAAGCTCACGAGGGGTTTTTCACTGTGTGGAAGGTTTGCCGGAAACTTCTCTTCCATATCAATGTATAGGCTGGAAAGGAATAGAGCTACTATCGAATTTTGGTGCATCCGGCAAATATGCCAAGGGGTTAACGAGTGCTTGCCTCTGGTACCTAAATTTTTGTTCTGCTTTATTTGCAAGCCAATTATTCTTTGTTACTCCCACAAACAAAAATGAAGCAAGTCTGCCGCAAGATCTTGTGATGAACTTTCTCAAGCACTGCATTGAACACTGAATTGATTGTACAACACATTATCATGATGTGCAACAAGCTTGAACAGTATTAACTGGAGGGTATGTAAAAATGTAAGTCGGATGAATTCATCCTCGGTAGTTATTTAGAGACACATTGAAGCTTTGAGAAGGAATTATTGGTAAAGAAAATTCATTATGCAGAAGAAACCAATCCTCAAGAGAATTCCTCTTCCAATAGTTTGTTACTAGGAAAAAGCATTGAGATTGGTGCCTCTGTGACTCTGACTATCATGTTGAACTTTTTCAAAGACCATGGAGAGTCTGCCATCCTCAATCAATATAACGGATTGAACAAATTAAGAGGACAATATTACTATTGTCAATGCTGGAATGAGTATGGTTGTAGAAAAATAGACTGGAAAAATTCATACTTGCCAACTTGCATTTGGGGGAATGTTAAAACCGTTCCTGCTTCTAAAACCGTTCAATAGAATGACAGGAAACACTCTCTCTAATGAAACATGCCAACGAGCCATTAAATTACTTCAACAACATGTACCTCTCCCTCAAAACGTTCCTGGAGGAATGTCTGAATATAGATGACCCTGATCTTAAGCTCTTCTACAAGTTTAACATTCAATTATTGAAAGATTGTTCTTTGAGACAACTCATTAAGGAGGAAAAAAGTGTACTCTTGTCTAGCTTCCATAAGCTTATCCATTGGACATGTGAAAGGATCAAATTGAGTTGAAGCTGTCATACATGACGAGGAAGAATTATTCCTCACGTGAGTCAGCTCATGGGATTTATTCTTGCAGAGACTGATCTTAAATCATATGGTTTGGTCTTTTCCTCGACACAAAGTCCTTCTCATACTCCGCTCAAACCATGGTTGCTTCTATTTTGGGAGTTCCAGATAATAAGGTGATTGATTACCAAGCTGAAATGTCTAGGAGGTGGATTTGGAGGTATGTATTTATTATTTCTGGTGGCATTTACTTTATACAAATATTTTAACCATTTTCAAACAATCAAGCTTCTCGCACCTAGAGAACTGCTTTTGACGCCAAATTTTATCAACTCTTATTCACTGTCAAAAATACTTTGTAATTTGAAGTTTCGAATTGCCTTTTCTTCTAAATTTGTTAAGCTTGAAATAATTAGCAGATATGATATTTTGATCGAATAGAGTACTGAACTTGGCACATTTTTGATTACTAATAGTTTAAGCATTTCAGAGGCCAAATCTTGATTGGTAGTGTAATCTATATAATACAACAGTTCCTTAGATTGTACAAATCTTCGATATACCCTATTGATGGAAATTCCAGTAACTTCATCATAATGCAATACAACGACAATCCAGGACTAGGGGTAGCTCGTTTTGCCTTGGAGTTGTAGGGTGAGGATGCTATGCTTTGATCTGAGAATCGTGAAATTACCTGTAAAGGTATTCACAAGTGAATCCATAGAGGGTATTAGGCCCGTTAGCGATTCAGGTCTGTACGGTATGGTATCTACGAGTAGGATGCCACCCTGCTGCAGTTCGTTGTTCGTTGCGAACGAGTTGTGTTTCAAAAATCTATTCTCCCAGAATCAAGTGGATGTCTTTGTATTGATAACAAAAATCATCATCAGTCTTTAAAAATTCACAACAACACCATCAGCGATGATTCATTCATCAGTTATCATCATTTAAAATTCGGAATTTGGAATATTTCATCTCTACATGATCATCAACCAATAGTATTCATCATCGAGTGTATATGATGAAATATCATCAAGATTTAAATGTATTGGTATGAGGAAAATTTCGTTGTCGATTGCTGTGCCAGATTCCACATTATCAGATTCAAAATTTTCTACATAAGGTTCCCTATTGAGTGGTTGTCTTTTTTCCGTCGATTTAGGAGTCTTTTGAGCTGGTACTGATTTCTGCTTTCTTCCTCTCTTCTTTATCGGCTCATAAATACATTGAGCTCCCACTCTCACACAATTTGAGCGTGGTGATTTGTGGTCACATTTTGCATGTTGTTTCTGACAACGTATACATATGCCTTAATTGAAGTATTTGTAGTTGTTGACGTCCTTTTACTCGCTCCGTTGTCAATAACCCTTCTTCGACGTTGAATTTTCTTCCTAACGGTGCTTGTTTTCCTTTCAGCTTTCTCCCATATGTGTTTTTTGACGACAGCGCTTGACAACGAAGCTCCTTCGGCACTCTTCTCGAGTTTTTCGAAAGCTTCATCATTCAGATCTATTTCAGAGACATCGTGTTTCCACCCTTCAAGCATTTCCTGCCAATGTTTTGATAATGATTTGTCTTCTTGTGTAGTGCCAATCCAATCCCTTCCTCGTCTAGTTGACATATACAACACTCTCAAAGGCAATAATACACATTCAGAAAACCCGGGAAGCGAGCCTTTTGCTTTGTGATTCGATTTTCTTTCATTAATCAATCGACCTAAGCTATGAACGCTTTCACAACCTTGATTCATAAAACGAGTTAGACTGCCATATTTCCTCAATAAATAAGGCAGATGGTTCAAAATAATATGAACATAATATCCAACCTTTTCATTGGGATAATGCAAACGAAGAATCTCATTTAACTTTTTCAGAGTTGGGATTAAATCTTGCTCAATATTTTGCTTTTCCAGTAACTGAGTAGGCTCCATGTAACCGTAAATTATATATCGAAACATTGACCAGATAGCAACATCCTGTGAATCAAAGCTGCTTTTGTCTAAAGCCTCCAAAAAAATTTTCTCAAAATTGAGTAATAAGGTATCGGCTTGCTTGTCATTGAGGTATGGTGATTCGAAGACATGATTTGACTCCATGACCAACTGTTTCTTGTAAAAGGCTTTTTCTTTAAATTCAAAATTTGAGAAGGATGGGAACTTTCGAATGACATCTTTGATTGCTTCTAATTCATTTGGAACAAGTTGCAGCATTAGTTTGGCCAGCAAATTTCCAACTATTCGAAGCTTTGCATGGAGGACGTCAATTACAACATGTTCCATCAATTTTGGATATTTTTCTAGAATAATATTTTCTCTTACCTGTTACAGTATACATTTGTACTGATATGTCAGCATTATGGAAGCTCTGTGATGAAACTTTTGTGTGCCTTATTGTGATTGTACTCATGAAAATTGTAATACATTATTTGAACACAATCACTCTCTCGATTTTAGTTGTTGAAAGTGATACTTTTCTTTACGCCGTTGCTCAAAGTTGTAAATAAATCCATTTTCAACTAAATCATTCAATGTTGAGAAAGTTATGTCAAAATATTTCGAAACATTCTTATGTATTTCTTGTCTTTTATACATATCTGTAATAAATGCATTATATCTGCACTGAGTAGAAAGAATACTGTTGAGGATTTGGGTTTGGGAATATCGCCCATTCAGTGATCCCAAAAATTTTAAATTTTCAAATAAACAACATATTTAGTTGTCTTAGGATCTATAACGATAGGATCTTGCTCGGTTATTTGTTCTGCTATGTCGTTCACAAGAAAGAAAAAAATTTCACGTTTTCGCTGGAACTTGTGCGACGGTAAATTTCATAGCCCTCAGGTTGATATATTAAATAAATTGATGCAGTCATACAAACATGCCCCATAATCCCTCAATGATAGTAGTACTCATGAACGATATATAAATGAAATTTGAGAGGTTGGGAGACACTCTTCGGACCGTGGAGCATCCCTAAAGTTGGTCAACCATATACCTCCAGGGAAAAAATTTGTCACCCCAGGAGGAGGGACACTGTCAGTAATATGATTTGAAGTTGAAGTTGAAAATGATAATACAAGTAGTGGACATCACATAGAGGGTATAGTGAGAGTTGTGACACTTGGTGATGACCTTAATCACAACAGAGACAATAATTCAGATTAGTTGCCATTGTGAGAGACATGGTTATGGTCATGAGATGAATCTTGTAATACACCTTCTACATGACAACTAGGATGTATAGATGTTGTTTATTTCATCAATTGTCAACTAAGTATGAAACAGTGAAGCTCTCCTCATGGTGAGTGAATTATAGCTTGAACGAAAATTTTTTGGATTGAAAATATTTTAAGTTCAAAAATGATACAAGGTCCCAGCGAAAATGTTAAATTTCACTCATATACGATAAATACATGATGACAACATGTGGAAACGACTTAGGTGATGTCAACACGCATGTAGTGCAATAAAATAGAGGATATTGTTGTATTAGTGATATGTTGTGATGTTAAAGTACATTTCAAACTCAGACTTTGGAGAGTATCGAGAGTGGTTGAGATATGGACTTTTATATGTCATGGATCTTGCAATTCCCCTTCTGTATGATCACTAGAACATGTTTATATTGTTTATTTCATCAAGAATGAGACATGTTTGAAATAGTGAAGCTCTTCTCGTGAAGAGTCGGTTTTTGCTTGAGTGGGGTGAACCGAAATTTTTTTTTTTACAAGTTCAAAAATGATAGAAAGTTCCAGAGAAAATGTTAAATTGAACTCTATAACAATAAATACAAGTTGATAGTTTTTCAAATTGATATATGTGATGTATCCAAGTATGTTACACACTATAATTGTGTTTGTTGGAACCAGTGTGAATCATTAATCATGCTGTTGAGTACAATATCACTGAGCATGACAATCATATCACATTGATGATTTCAACGTTTCATTGACTCAATTAACAGATGTAGACTGTCTTTAGAGAATATTGGAATGTATTTCTTTGAATAACACAATCAGAAGTGTTTTTGTGAATGTTCTGTTGACAACATATGCATGGCATGAAAAATTGGATGAAATCACTCAATGATTGATCAATTCGCACGGAGAGTTCCTTGATAATGATTTCATTCTTGTGATAATAAATGTTATTGTTTATCATGATGAGCACTGTATAAGTGTTTGTTGTTGAGAATGTGAATGAATAGTCATGATAGAGCTCTTTGTGTTGTCAATGATGACAAGAAGAGCACTGTTTTGAACAGGTTTGTGTTTAATGATTGAATATGTGTTTTTCTCCTTGAAATTGATGTATTTAACTCAAATAGAGTGGTTGTGAAGAGCCTCACACAAAAAGGAATTTCATGTTTGAACCATGTCATTGCCTTTGTGTCCTTCAAATAAGAGAATTCTTCATATCCACGATACAGACAAGAGATTTTCTCAATAATTTTGTCAACTGTTGTATTCATTGCTGGAAGTCCGTGTAGTAAAATTTGTTGATTATAATGAAGTACATCAAACACATTACACATGTTGTTGATTTCTGTCAATTATGAGAATGTTCAACAACGAGCAATCAACCTTGTGTGTTTCTCACTTTAATGAGCTTTAATATCATTGATGACACAATTAATGTGTAGTCAATCAAGTTTTTATCAATAATTTTGTGAGTAGAGTCTATAATATTCATTAGTCATGAAGAGTGCATTGATAGACAACCAATTCAATGATGATTCTGAAATTGATATGAAGAATTTATATGAAAGACAGGATGATATATTGGAAATTTCAGAGATTGAAATTATGTATTTAGTTTCTTGTATGTTTCGAAAGAGTAAACAATAAAATTCGTTTGTTAATTAAAGGAAGGACTAATGGGTTTGTGGTCTCTTCAAACACCCGACCTTAATAAAGGTCCGGTGTTTGTGGGATTTTCTGCATATTTTGTCAATTGACTTTAGTCAGCAGAGTCCCGAGCATTAATTAAGATTTGAGAAGGTAAAAAACTCCAAAAACCGCTCAGCGGAAAAAAAAGGAGAAAACCAAAGAAACGCAAGGAAGCAGGAAGGATGAAGGCAGAAGTAACGACTACATGATGTGAAGCGCAAGAAGTCACAGTTAGGTGGCAGAGACGAAGACTCCATGATATGAGGTCGCATTTAAACAATTGCTTGATAAATCCATGAATATCATGAAAACATGATGAATTAAATAAATGAAATTAAATAACAAAATTATATAGTTAGCTCAATAAAATCCTTGCCGAAAAGATTCGAATCAAGGTGGACCTGCACTGTCACAATGTTCTTCCTTACCACAAGAACATTCCGATCAGCGAAAAATGTACTTGAATAAGCTTAAGAAAGCAAGTGGGTGGGAGTGTGAATGGGTGGGAAGTCACTAAGCAACGCAAAGAGAGACTAATCGTTAATATGCAGAAAATTTTTTGAGCATGGAAAAAAATTTTTCAAGCTCAACCAAACTCTTTAATTGTTTACAATCGAAACATTCATGCCCTTCACTAAGTTCAGAACATATCAGGTTCAGGTTGGTGTTTTTCGTTTGTCCATCACACGTTTTTTTTTTCTAAATTTTTAACGGCTAACTTGAGTGGTTGTTCCTTAATTCTAGGGACCTGCTGACAATAAGGGATAACTAGAATTTAGCGGGAGGGATAACTTTACGGTTTTTGAGATACCTACAATTTTTTTTATGGGATAACTTGGACAGATATTTATTCATGCTCCTCTGTGTTCAAATTATCAATAATCGCAGTATTAAATAGATTCTTCTGTAAAAGTTTAAACAAATCAGGACAGAGTGACATTAAATCATTTGAATCTGGATTCAGAATTAAATATTTTCCTCCTTCAGAATAATCTTTAGTAAAACCTTCACCTTTCTTTGTTGTGATTTGTTGATATTTTACATGTATATGTGCCACGAGAGGTATTAGTCTCTCATTCTTAGTTAATGTTGCTAGAAACTCCTGTTTCTCAGTCGTCCACCAGGTCCTACAGTTTCCAATTACTTCTGGGCCAAATTTTGCTTTGTAGAAATTATTCGCATTCACACACTTGACGCCGTTTCTAATCTGGTTTAAAAATGTTTTTCTCTGGCAATTATGTAATTTGTTGCTCACAATAATACCGTAAGGTTGCTCTGAAAAGTTTAAACAAATACCATCAGCATGACAATTCAAAGAGGGATAAAAATATACCCCATCAATAAGGTCTTTAAATGTAATGGTATTGTTAGTAGAACTCTCTTCTATATGTTTGTTATAGTTCAACAAACAATGAAAGTATAAAATATCTCCCAACATATTGCTGTCAATATTGTCAGTGTTTGTGAGGACTTCTTGGGCCCATTTTGATGTGTAATGCTTGCGATAAAAATCTTTAGTTCGAATAAATGATTTGATCACAAATTTGTGGTCAAGTAATAGAGTATATGGTCTTTTCTTTTTCTCCGATGTTGTGTCAGTGTTTGATTTGTCATTTATCTCGGTTGTTGTATTCTCACCTAATATTAATGGTGAAAGGATCAAGTTGTCCCTAATACACTTTCCACTATGGTGTTGCAATAAAAGAGAAAATACCATTTCCCATTTCTTAGGGTCATGTTGAGGGAGAGATAATAGCAAATTCAACACTGAGATTGGGTTACTGATTTTTGTAATTGAGTTTGGATATTTCTTTTCTAAAACCTCTTTTGCAACATGTTTAAGAATTGGGTCTGAGGTATCAAAATGATACATATCGCTGTTAGTATCATAAAAGTCAAAATTTGGTTTTGCTAATCCAGTTCCTATTAATGAAGAAGCTAATGCTCTGTCGCAAGAAATTGATTTCCCTAAAAAGGCATCATATTCATTTGTGATTACTACGTCCAACAAAAAATTAAGATCAAGACGGTCTGTTGACTTCTTACAATCAAATCTATGTAAAACATTTTTTTCCACCTGA